TGGAATCCATGTTCGAAATTGAACAACAACAATCAACACCGGAATGGCATTCTGTACGCTCAATTTGAGTAGTTTTACGAAATATTACGAAGATGATGATGCTGATGAGGAGGAGAAAGAAATTGCATGCATGCAGTAGCAACGCAATGTAAGCGTATTTAATGGAAACAGTAATGATGTTGTTGTAATAATACCATACACAGCAATATGACCGAGGTAGTGAGCCTCCAAAGGGAATTGACATTCGATTCATTTATGTTCTAGCTTCGTCGTCGTCTTCTTCTTCTTCTTTTTTTATGACACAAGCGCCTCGACATCGGAAGTGTTTCGTTTTCGTTGTGCGGTATCAGTTGTGTGACAAAATGGTTAGCCCCATCTCGACGGTAACTCATTGCGGTCTCCAATTTTCACAAAGCAACCACTCGTATAGACAGACATTGTTTGTTGAATGGGTGCTCAATGCTCATGCTTCAGTCTATCTGTCTCTCTCTCTCTCTCTCTTCCTCATTCTATACCTTGAAATTACTTAACAATTTATATTGCTCAGTTGTTGAGTATGCACTTGGAGTTGAATGAATCGCGAGGATGTGCACGCAGACTCCGCCAACAATAATAGAAGAATATGCTTCTTTTCCGTATGTACAGAGCAAAAAAAACCCTTCGCATTGTATCATCGACGCACCGATATCGCTTTTGCTATGTTGTTGTGGTTCGCATACCTCTGGCTGTAGCTGTCATGACTAAAAGTAGTCATCGGTTTGCTTCAATTGCCGCCAGTGTTGCGTGTATTATCTCCAATTACTTCAATTGCAGCTGAATTAAAACGAGAACCGATTTCTTTCGTGCTGTACAATGAAATGGAACAGATCTCCGTCGTTCTTTGCTTAATGGGACGAAGACGCCCTCGAACTTGTGAGTACAGCACTTTTGCAAAAGGAAAGTCAATTGATTCTAAACAAAGTCATTTCTTCAAAACCAATGAAGGATACGAGAGAAATCCGACCAAACATCGACAACTACCTAATTTCGACGGAGCGTTGAAGAATCGTTTGGTCGTTGTACACTCGTCGTTTGGTCAATGGTTTTCAAGAGATAAACCAAACATGGTTCTCATTTGTGCGCTTCGATAAGTTTGCTTCACTCATTCACATTGCTAATGTCCCAAAATGTGTTTATTTTGTGGCAGCCGTTTCGGCTTGTCAGCATCCACGTTGTTGCTTTCATCCCTGTTGCTGCTTGCCGCTTAGGTTTGTCGAACTCTTACTCAAATATTCACTTCGATTGCAGCAACTTAACACTGCTGCTCAATTCACCCTCTCTAGAGTAGACCGATACACACACACGTATATATCGAGAAAGTGTCTAAGCGGAAATAAATATATGCTGTTGAAATCCATTTCGATTTGGCCATGAAGTTACTGGCATTCGATTTGCGAACGAGCATGTAATCGAAACTGCACGACAAGCAAATAATAGAGAGACAATGCGGAGAAAGAGAGGGTATGTCTGTGTATGTGTGAGTGAAAGAGAGTGGAGCCAAATTGATTGGATTGATAGAAAGATGTGTGAGAAAATTTAATTAATTTATCCGTCGTGCACCGACATCTCGATACGCTTGTTTCATGTACCGTATGTGTATACGCACAATTTCGATCAATTTTTATTTATTGGTTCGTTATTTGTTTTTGGGCTGGGAGAGCACGCGCGCGCGTTTGAGCACCCAAATCATTTGTTGTTTTTCGTATACATGCGATAAGTAATTGGTTTGTATGTAATCACATTCATCTTGTTTCGGAACGCACTTGTTGTATTCGATCCGATAAATTTACTGCCTTTCTTCACATGTTAGTTGCTTCAATTCGGCTACTGATTCTTTATTCGGTTTTATTTATGGTTGCTAAGTTACCGTAATACAGCCAAGGCTGTAATTGAATCCATCGGATGAATCATGCTTGCCGACACAGAGTGAAAAACAGATTTTCCTCTGAACCAGTACTCTAAACTTTTGGCTCAAAGCAAGAGAAATTATGTAAAAATCATTCAAATAATTTGCGCGTCATAAACGCCGCGCGACAATTCAAAGTAGCAATTTGAAAATGACAATGTTTTTATATCCGTTCGGAACTTATATAAAAACGTTTATAATTTTATGCGTCTCTGTTTGATATCCGTCTAAGTGACATGGCAATTCAGAATCATTTGTCGGCAACAGATTAAAAAGTAATATAAAACTCGTGAAGCATACACACACCGAATGACTTGGGTTACACGGTCTAGCGCTGAACCCGTTTATTCGTATATGTATAATTTTGATGCGAGTGCATGAAACATAGAACCTGACTGCTACTTCACAAGTCGAGGAGGCATTATGCAAACCAAATGGAGAGAGAGAGAGAGTGTGTGTGTCGTTTGGTGCGGGCGTGAATAATGCATAAGAGTCGGCAGAGTCACAAAACATATTAACGAAGCAACCAACGAGCCATAATCATAAATGTGAATAAAGTTCAGACTGCCGCCAGACTCAGCACATTTTTCATGGGGGTTCAAGACAAAATCAAGTGGAACAGACACGAACGCGTTACATTTTATATTCAAACGCAAACTCTTTTTCAAACAGTCGTAAAAGAGATGCAAATAAATCGATTAATGAACAATTTAAGTTGCGAAAAATTTGCATTTTTACTGTGATTTTGATGTGAATTTGGGCTTGACTGCCCAGGATTTTCAATGATTCGACAAAGAACGCGTTAAAAGTTTTATGAAGTACTTTGAACATCCCCGGCACTGTATTGAAAGGTTGCCAAATTGGGTCGAGCTGCAGACTAGTTTTTCATCCCTCAATAAACGGCTAAAAACAACACATTTATCTGCTTGCATTTATCCAGTAGTTCATCAATTACATTTCCCCCATTGTACCTCCTCTGACAACTGCTTCAAATGCCAATTCTTGAACATCTGCGACTGACCGCTTCGAATT